GTCAACCTTCAGTGAATGATAATTGAATGAGCTTATTCCCCTTATGTGAGAAGACCTCCCTTTCAGTTCTTGGAGGCCAAAAATTGGCTGCTGCTTTATTTGACTCACAGCAGATATTTTAAAGCCTAGCAGACATCCACACATTGGTTTTGTCTGATGAAATTCACCAGGGAAGTCAGCAGCAGTAACCACAAGTTAAATTTTTAGCAAAATGTCCTCTTGTGTCTTTTTGAAAGTGAGTCTCCTTGAACTGTATGTATTCTCTCATTCTCAAGCAGCTTTAGGCTTGGAGTCTTGTCAGTGGTTTAGTGCATGGATGCTGGAGTCAGGCTGTCTGGGATTGGCTTTTGTCTCTACCAATTCTTAGCTGTCTGTTTAACCTCCCTGGGCCTCACTTTCTTCATCCATGAGAAGGAGATGATAACAATAGTACCTACCTTATAGGACTGTGGTGAGAATTAAACAATAGGTAATAAGTGCTTAGAACAGTGTCTGGCATGTTGTAACCACTAAAGTGCCAAACATGTTTGTTGACAATTTGCCCTTTGTTAGATATAGGAAGATAAAAGAGAGAACTTCTGGTCTTAACAAAATGCCATAGAAAATGCGCAAATGGGATGAAGAGACATTTTACAGAAGAGGATATACAGATGGCAAATAAGTATATGAAAACATGGTCAAAATCATTAGCCATCAAATAGTGCAAATTAAGAACTCGGTGAGATATCACTTTACACCTATCAGAATGGCTGAAATAAAAAATAGTAACAACATCAAAGCTGGTGAGGATGCAAAGGGACAGGATCACTCCCACATTGCTGGTGGAAATAAAAAATGGCCAGGGCACTTTGAAAAACAGTTTGGCAGTTTCTTATAAAAGTTTGCAACTGCCGTATGGGCCAGCAATTGTACTCGTCAGTATTTGCCCTAGAGAAGTTAAAACTTATGTGCACACAAAAACAAGTCCACAATTGTTCACAGTAGCTTCCTTTGCAATAGATGAAACTGCCATTAGCTCAGATGTCTTTCAACAGATGAATGGTTAGATAAATTGTGGTACATCTATAACATGGAATATTTCTTAGCAATAAAAAGAAATGAACTACTGATACACAAAACCACCTGAGTCTCCAGAGAATTATGCCAAGTGAAAAAAACAACAATGGTTATATGACATATATATACACATAGTATGATTCCATTTATGTAACATTCTTGAAATGATAAAATGATAGAGATGAAGGACAGATTAGTGGTTGCCAGGGACCATTATGGAGTCTGGGAGGGTGAAGGGAGGGGGCATAGCTGTGAAAGAGCAACAGGAGATATCTCTGCAGTGTTGGAAATGTTTAGTATCTTTATTGTGTAAGTTCTGGTGGATACAAGATGATAAAATTATGTAGAGCTCAATGTACACACACAGAGCTGGAGAAATCTGAAGACAGGTGGATTGTACCTATATCAATATCCTATTTGTGATACTGTGATATTGTGCTGTAGTTTTACAAAATGTCACCATTAGGGGGACTATGCACAATATACAATGGATCTATCTCTCTGTATTATTTCTTACAACTACATGTGAATCTACAATTATCTCAATTAAAAGGCCAGTTAAAATAAAACAGGAAAAGACAACTACTCTCCCTACCTCTTATTTTAGTAGGTATTTATTAAATGTTTAACATGACAATTTATATCTGAAAGATTACTGTGTTCTACATTTTTTTCAGTGAAATGAGAATAAATGACATCACGTTTTCTTACAGATTAAAGAGCTCCTTGTTATCAGAACCCGACATGTGTTTAAAACTGCCCAGAGCAAAGATATACTGCTTATTTACCAGAAGATATTGATCTGAGACAGCTCACTCTCCTCTCTAAGAGGCTGATGGAGACAACCAAAGAGATCCAGCAAGATCTCGGGGATAAAACAGGCCTATGAATATTTAGTGCTCTCTCCCTCTCTCTTTTCCCCTCTGTGGATTGAGAAGGTGGAGGCTCATCACTCATCAACACACAAACTACCCCTAGATTGGCTATGAAAGGCAAATCTTTTAAAAGATTATTTTATAGATTATTGACTAAAATAAATTGTCTCTAAATGTTCAATCATTTTATAAATCATTCTTATTCATAAATATGGGATATTTGTGATTAAAGTGTAAATATATTCATTTAAAGCCAGTTACCATTAGGCATCCATCAGGAATGAAGGCAGAAGTGAATTCAGCCATACATCAAATTATGCCATGGACACAACGGCTCCTTGCACTTATGCTGGGAGCACCGTAGGCTGAGGGTCTATGACATCAGCACTGCACATATGCGGTTGTTATTTAGAACTCTCCGAGGTATAGATTTACATTACCATCTGTCCTCTCAGTTGCTGTTTACATCTATCCTAAAAGGGGGAGGGGCGTAATCAATTAAAGAGTATGTACAAAGCCCTGGGAAAAATTAACAACAGCAACAACAGCCTGAACTTGGGAGTAGTAGACATGTCTATTCAAAGGGGAAAAAGGGATTCATTCTCTTCTCACTTTGAAAATATTCTCTTTGAACTGTGGAAATTAAGTGACAAAAGAATTTGTTAAAATCTACAGGCTGGAATATGCTGAACACAATTAAGCTTCTCCAAAGAGCCTGAGAAAAATCTAAATTATATATTTTTAAATTAATTTAACGATGAATTGGACTTCATAAAAATTTAAAAGCTATGCTCCATGAAAGACTCCATGAAGAGATTGAAAACACAAACTGCAAATTAGGAGAAAATATTTGCAAAGCATATTTCTAATAAAGAACTAGTATCTGGAATATCTAGGATCCAGTTCTGAAGAATGTTCAAAACTCAACAGTAATATAAAAAGTCCCGTTAGAAAATGGACAAAAGACATGAAGTAACATTTCACCAGAGAAAGTATACAGATGACAATGAGCACCTGAAAAAATGTTTAGCATAATTAGCCATGAACTTGCAAATTAAAACCACAATGAGATATTGCTACTGAACCTTCCTTCAAGAATGGCTTTTTAAAAATACCGGCAACACAAAATGCTGGGGAAGATACAGAGAAACTGGACGACTTGTACATTGCTGGTGGGAACAGAAATGCTACCTCCACTTTGGTAATATTGTGAAAGGAAACGTGCAATTGTCAGTAATTACTCTTCCGGGCATTATCCCAGAGAAACTAAAAATTATGTTCATGCAAAAACCCGTCTACATGAATGTTCATAGCAGCTTTATTTGTCATAGCCAAACATTGGGAACAACCCAGGTGTATGTACACAAGTGGATGTCACACAAACTGTGGTCCATTCTATGGAATAGTATTCAGCAATAGTAAAGAACAAATGACATGCACACAACAACCTGAATGGATCTCTAGGAAATAATGCTGAGTGAATAAACAAAATTCAAGCCCAAAAGACTGTATACTGTATGATACCATAATTAAAGCATTCTTGAATTGACAAAAATTATAGAAATGGAAAATAGATTCATGGTTGCCAGGGTTAAAAAGTGATTGGGAGTAGGAGGGTAGAAAGGAAGGGGGGGGGGTGTGACTATGTAAGGGCAAGATAAGGGAGCCTTCTGTATATGGAAACCTTCTGTATATAATCGTGTAAATATCAACATACTAGTTTTGATATTATAGGATAGTTTCATAAGATGCTACCATTGGGTGTAACTGCTTACATATAGGGGATCTTCCTGTACTATCTCTTACAACTGCATGTGAATCTAATATTATCTCAAAACAGTTTAATTTGAAAGAAGAATGTAAGAATTTTGGAAGTAATGTCTATCTTTTCCACTCAAGTTTGGAATAAAGATGCTGCTAACTCATTGGCCAACAAGGCTGTTGTTAAGAAGATAAACTAATGCAGTGTTTAATACCTAGGTGATGGGTTGATGGGTGCAGCAAACCGCCACGGCACACGTTTACCTATGTACACAAACATGAACGTCCTGCACATGTATCCCAGACTTTAAAATAAAATTTTTAAAAAGAAAAAGATAAATCAGGGAGTCTGGAACAAAGAGCTTCTTCTAGGCCCTGTCTCTCCGCATCTAGGGCCTTCCCTGCCTAGCCAAGCGCGGCAGCTTCCGGCAGCCCTCGTCTCTTTCCAGGAAGTCCCGATAAGGATCACGACAAAATGGAACAGGCAAAGCCTTTCATTCCCTACTTACCTGTTACCATGGCAAAATTCCAAGCCAAGGAGTCAACCTCTTGGTGAGTTTACTATGGTTCTAGCCCTGTTATTTGGGATGCTGGCAAGTGGGAGGGAGGCATCAACCAACCATTGCCAGTGGCAAGCAAGCAGTTGAAACCAACAAGGGGTAGCCTGGGACCTGCACTGCATGCAACCTCAGGAAGACTGGAAAAAATGTGGATGTGTGGATTGTGCTTATGTATCTTCTGTGAGACTGTATTTCTTGAGCATCACTGGGTGGCCCACTGGCTGCCATCAGAGGGTCTGGAGCTCCAGTGGGTGCTGATACCTACCTGATTTCTCAGACTGGCCTTCCTGCTTTGGAGTCCAAACTGCTGCTCCTCAAAACCCCAGTGGGCTCTCCTCCAGTGAGCAGACCCAAAACATAGACCCTTCCTCTCCAGCAGACAGCATGGCACTCCTCTTCCCCACCTCGCTTAAACATCCACTCATGAGTGCCTATGTATTCCTAATATTGGTACACTTGGTTTTGTTCCTTTGAAGGAGAAGAATTTTTCTGGCCTCCACACCCTAACCTATAGAGTTAGGGGCTGCTTTCTTTGCTATTTGCTGTTTCAAATACTCTCTTTGGTGACAGGTATTGCAAAGTGTTTATGAGTGTGGACTCTAGCATTTTGTTATCCCATTCAAACCCTAGCTTCACCGTGTGAGGAGACCTTGGGCAGATGATTTGGTAACTCTAGGCCCCAGCTTCCTCATTAATAAAATGGGATGATGACAGTAGCTCATCTCACAAGGTTGGCATGAGGGTAAAATAAGTCGATATGTGTGAAATCTCTAGAAGAGTGCCTGGCTTGCGGGTAGCCTTACATAAACCACAAATGTTAGCAATAGCTACCCTTCTCTTCCTCCTCATGATAGTACTCTGAGAAGCAGCCTTGGGATTGAAAGTACTCTGGATTTTAACTCAAATAGGTTTGAGAGCTGAAATTAGCTGTGGCCTCTCTTGGGCACATCACTTACCTTATTTGTGCCTCAGTTTCCATATTTACAAAATCAGGCCAAAAATCTTATTGCATGGGAATTCAATGATGTAGCTGGTTTGTCTGAATTTCTGTGGTGTGGGCACTGGAAACTCAAAGCACGACTCTATATTGTACTTTTGTAATGTACAATTGTTGTGGAGAGCAGCGATGGCGATATTAGTCCTCTTTCCTTCTCCATCCCTCTTGCCCTGGCGCCTGTGAAACAGAGCATCCCCATGGCAACAGCAGCAGCTGGTCCCTAGATAAGAGGAGCAGGAGCCGGCCAGCAGCAGCCACTGCCGCAGAGGAGCCAGGCCCAGCTTCGGTGAGCACGCACGCCCTCCCTGTCTCTTGTCTTCACTTCCCTGCATCTGCACTGATTGGTAAGTGCTTCAGATTTTTACTCCAAGAACTTTTGTGGTGAGGAAAGCAAGTTTCCAGTAAGCTACTGGGACAAAGAAGGCTGTAGCTGTGGCACGGGGTTGTGCTGTATGGAGCAAGGCTAAGCTGGGGCTGAGTGGGGAGCAGAAAAAGTTACCACTTTCAAGTCATTCTTCCAAGGGAGGTGAACTCCTGTGTTCTGTAAAACCTTGAGTCCTCACAAACTCATTTGCAAAGTTTCAAGATGAAGTTGGTATCTCTGATATATTCACAAAGGATAGATAGGTTTATCTTCCAAGGCTGGGGAGAGTACAGGAAGTATGCTTCTCAAAACACATCTCCATGCCCTACCTTAATTCAATCTCTCCTCCAGGAATACGACAATTTAGGTTTTCTAAATGAACGAATCTGATTTTAAAAGATGGTACTTTTTGACCGGATTCAATTCTCTGGTTAAAAAGAGGTTTGACAATGGATATGTATTTTACATAGACAGAGGGTGCATTGATGAGACACCACATAAGCTGTGGATACAACCTTCTACCTTTTTATTCCATCAAGTAAATCAAGACCTGATTATTTTGGGGATATTCTTTAGAATACTGTAGGGTAAGCTAAGTGTCAACTCACTTCTGAGAATCAGTTTTATTATGTGCCCAAGATTTAGAAATGGGTATTCTGCAGTTGGTTTTTGTCTTGAACTATTCTCATTACCAGCTTCAGAGAAGCCCAGAGATGGGGCAAGGAGATTATTCTGATGGATCAGTTTAGATAGACATAGACATATAATCACAAAGGGAGGGCTGAAAGATCCGAGAAGGCCCCTCACACTCATGAAAATCTTAGCGTGCAGAACCCAGGCTGGGGGCTTCATGCACATTCTATGGTTAATACTCTCAACAGCCCTGGAGAAGAGCCACTATCTTCCCTGTTTTGTAGATTTGAAAACTAAATTTTCGAGAGAACATATAACTGTCCCAAGTTCACCCAGCCAGAGAGTGGTACAAGCAACCAAACTTTGGCTTCTGCCTTAGATTCACTCACAGCATCCAATCGTACAGGTGAGAGGAATTTTCTTCCCATGAATTAAACCACATATTCTCACTTCCAACTGAGAAAACTGCTCAGTGATAAAAGACAAAATGTCCAGACCAGCTTCTGACCACACACTGAACCAACTAAGGTGTTTCAGCTGCGCCGATGTGCCTGCCCTTCTGTAATATAGTGGGGTCCCTTTTCTGGCACCCAGTTCCTTTCTCCTTTCAGTTCCTATTCTCAAAAGAGAAGGTGGCCTTTGTCATTAACAATCCCTGTGTACTGTGACATCAATTTACGTATTGCTTCTCTAAGTGGTATTTGCAGTTACAAGTGTCTCTCTGTGAAAAGAAAGGTTTTGTCCCTTGTGCAAAGGAAGATAAGGACTGGTAAGAGGAGGTTGTAAGAGTTTAAAAGCTGGATTCCTGAAATCCTTCCTCAAACCCTGAAATCCTATCTCTTTGTCCTTTGCATGCTACACTGACCGCCACATTCTGTCAAACAACCACTACCAGAAGAATAATTCAGATTAATAATCTTTCATTCTCTAATGAATAAATCTGAAACATTCTGAAAACTAAAAGGTTTGTTGTTGTTAAGTTCAAACAAACTCATTTGGTAGCAGAGCCTCACCTGAAAGGATGTGAAGTTTTTGTGGTTTGTCTGTATGACACTTAGTGTGAATATTCATAGTTTTGCTGCAGAAATTATGGATGTGATTGCTGGTGCTCCCTGAGACGCCTCTAGAGCTGCTATATAATTTAAACAGTCCTGATTTCACAGCACATTTGGCTACAGGCTCGTTACAGGGGTGGGTGAGCTGATATTGTAATGACAGTGGCAGTCCATGTCTCTGTGTGAGTGGTTTAGAGCCCACATTGAACCAGTAAGTGGCAAGAGGATGTTAAAAAGGTCACAAGTCTTTGTAGCAGACACAGTATATGTAGCACCCCCAAATGTGAAGTATTAGACAGCAAGCATCTCTGGAGGCCCTAGCATTTTGGTTGAAATCTGAAGACCCAAAGGACCAGCTATTTAGCCATGAAAGAAAGAGCTGGTACCTTAGAAAGTTCCCAAATTACAGGGAGTTGATGAAACCTTCCCTGGGCAACCCAACAAGTACAGCATCCCTTTATGACACCTGCTTGGGGTAGAGACTGAATTAAAGAGAGGAAGGCGTGGGCAGAATCAGGAATAGGAAATGGAAATATTCAGATGGAAATAATTCCATTTCCTAGGCCGAGAATTAGACCGGCTCATGTCTCACAACAGTATACTCATAAAGAGCTCCTCTTCTCACTGAGGATAGACATGGAGAGTGAGTTGGGAGATGGGGTCATTTTACTAACAGGCAATGACAATTATCAATAAGCCAATACTAAACTCCAAATGTCTTTCCCCTCCACCTACTTGTTCTTTTCTTTGTGCGAAAATTTTCTGCCAAGAAGTCCATAATGACATCATTCATGATAAAAGTATCTTCCAATCCCATGGGCAAAACACATCCCTGCCCAGCATGAGATATTTTTGTAATGTAAAATCCCAGGTCTGGAAATTGTCTCTCAGCCCCTTAGCAAACAGCCTTGCTGGTTCACCACCATCATTCTTTAAATCACACTGATTTAAAATAGTGTTGTTTCTCCCATAGACAATATGAGCTAGGCTGTAGAAGAAGCATGTGTCCGTTTTGTGATGAATCGCTGTTTTCACTCGCCTTGTCAGGGGCCTCTGACGTGTTTGATTCTTCAATTCATCGGCCAAAGACAGGCTCCTCTTCCTCCAGTCTGGTGCTGCTATAGCTGCTCTGCTCAGAGGAGGGCTGGACCTCCTGTGACTCAGCATATGAAATAAAAGTTCAATTGCTTTTTAGAATCTTTTCATTAAACAATAGGTCTTTCTTAGCCAGAAGTCTAGTGTGGTAGATAGACAACATTACATTAAAATAGCTGCCACTTGAATTGTGAATTGGGAGATGGAGTCATTAAACTAATAGGCAATGATATTATTATTATTATCTCTATTTTACAGATGAGAAAACTCAGGGTAAGCTTGAGGGACAGAGAGGGACATATGTTTCTGGGTGCCAGACTGTGGGGGCACCACAAAGATGTTAGCATTTGCAAATTTTATCATAGCACTCATAGCTTATGGAGAGGGGGCAAAAACGACTCTATTGCATTGGACCCCATTTATTCTCACTACGTCATTAAGATTTAGCCACTTCATTGAAGTCATATGGTTTTTAGCTGAAGAGCTGAGATTTAACCTAGGTCTATTTGATTAAAGAGCCCAGATTCAAATTAAATAACCAGCTATTAGGCACATAAGAACAGCCATAGGATCCAAGTAAAAAAACAAACAAACAAACAAAAAACACCTTACCTTACAGCGGTTGGGGAGGAGGAGAAAGCTTCTAACACCAGATGGGACCTTCAGTAGATAGTGAGTCCCTGGCTTCAAATGATGACTCTGATCCTAAGTGTGTACCTAATGGTAGGTCATTTTAACTTTTTTGAGCCTCCTTCTTCTTCTGAGGAATGAATATTTTTACCAGATCTTCTATAGGGTAATTTTCAACATAATATGTATGACTGGCCCCATGACTCTGCCCGAAGAGGAGGAAAATGGGTTAAATAGGTACATAAGACCATTTTTGATGCTGCCCTGAGACCCCAGCACTCATCTTGAGTGATGTTCCCATGGCTCATCCAAGCTAACAGCACACTTCCTGATGGTCCCAGGGAGTTGACAACCTCTATACAAACACCAAAAACAATGGTCTGAATTGATTTCTGCTGAAGTCACTCAGTACAATCAGTCTGCACAGAGTGACACTAAAAGCCGTGCTCAAGTGATCAGTTAATAGCCCCATCTGCTATGCAGTGATCTCAGCACGTAGAAGAAGAGACCCTCCCACCTTTGCAGAGAAAACTGGTTTGTTCCTCAGAAGACAACAGGGTTGAAATCATTTTATGAGCTTGAAACATTAGCACAACTGATCTGTGTGTTCATCTGCGTGCTGGTTGTCAAGGAGTCTCAAAAGAAAAGAATTGGTTGGATGATTTTAATCTTATTCATTCCTCCCCTACCACTCTTGCTATGGTAGGACATGAGTAATAAATTATCTAAAAGGAACTCAAGATATAGAATCTAGCCAGCCTTTAATGATGATTTTCTATAAATCTCAGCTAATGCATTTCTTTTTCAGACTTGACACATATCCATTCTGTATTTCCACCACTCCTGGGCGACAGCTATAATTAATAGTTCTGGAAAGTTCAATGAACTTTCCAGGAAAGTTGGAGAGTAGGGCGGGGGACAGACTTGTTCTCCTGTCTGGAATCCCTAGGGAGAAAATAAAGATCTATCCAAAACCCAGATTTTCTCCTACCATGTCTCTACCACCATCATAATCTGGATGGGGAGGTAGTCACCTTACTTTATGCAATAGACATAAGATGTAATGATAAAATAAACAAACAAACAAAACCCCGTAACAGAAGCCTTAATTAATTCAGGTTCAAAAGATTCATTTTATTTTTAAGAAACTCGGGTGCGTAATGGAAGTCAGCCGTACTGGACCTGGATATAGGCTTGGCTATTTAATAGACATGTGACTAAATTAATTAAACTTTCTGAGCCTCAATTTCCTCATCTGTGAAGCAGACATAACCCTACTTTGCAGAACTCAACAGAAAAAACATATGCTAGGTTTAATCGTGATTTTCCGTGACTCTCAGCTAATTCACTTCTTATTCAGACTTGACAGTTGCTCATTCTGAAATTCTCAAAGTATCTCTGAGAGAGGGCAAATTTTGAACATTTGATGCATGACAATTACTGATAAATCTGTCAGTGTGGGGGTGGGAGGGTTCATTTTATTTTGGGTTAAATCTCAAGTTTAGAGTTTCTAATAGCTAAGTATATGAAGCACACAGAAAGAAACAGGATTAGACTGGGAACACAATAGCAACTATTCAACAAATATATTTACTTAGTAAATGAATGAATGAATAAACAGAGGCATACTTATTAACTGTTTTTTTATAATTCCTTAGTGCTGGAGAAGAAATCCATCCACCCACCCTCCTCTGATTATGTCCACTGAGCAAATGCAGCCACTGGAGCTCTCAGAAGACAGACTGGACAAGCTAGACCCTCGTTGCAGCCACTTAGGTAAACAAATTCATTGTGAATGTCAGTGGTGGAAGTCAGAGAAGAGACGTCTCAGCCATTTGGTTTGCAGGCAAGTCAGAGAGAGGCCCCCTGAAACCTGATAGTCTGTGCCTTCTGGTGACGGCCAACACCAGATGGGCAGGCAAATAGCCATGGGTCTGTGGGGTCTGCCATGTAAATATTAGCTGAAGCACCAGTGAGAAGTTCATTAGAGAGAGAGAAAGAGAGAGGAGAGAGAGGAAGCACTGTCCTTTTTTTCTGGGTCTGACAGAGTCCCAGGCAGAGCATTTTTGAGGCAATAAATGGAATGTGTCAGTATAACTTCCAGTATTTCCTGACACACTTACACCCCATGTGCAATGCCAATAAAATATTTCAAATATCTCTCTTTGCCTATCAAGATAGAATTTTAAATAGCATTTTTCTACTTTATTGTCAATCTGTTTCCTTTCCAGAACTGACTTTTTGCATAACCTTTGTAATGAAAATACCAGAAACATTTCTGCCTCTACCCATTTCTAAAAATGAGACACTCAGACTTTTGATGGATGGGCCTTTTGCATATTCATAGCCTTTGTCTATGGCTTGCCGGGTTATGGCTCGCCCCTCCTCTCCCCTCTCCCCATTTGCCATCAAGATATTTTATGTTCAAGATTTCTCCAAAAATGGGGAAAAGTGCAATTGAAGTAAAAGTCAAAATTAAAGCAAATGACTGTGCACTGAGCAGCATCCTGGGGTTGAATGGTAGCCCATGACAGGTTTGTATCTCCAGAGACCCACAGCAGGATAGTGCCCATTCAGAGCAACATTTATTTATTCAACACACGACTATGGCATGTAAAATATTGGGGAAAGAGTAACTGCTATGTGGCAATAAACTTCTAAAATTGCGTTTGCAGCTAGACATTAAGGTACATCATCCCAAGAGGCTGGGTTTAATCCTGATACCATAACCTGCCAGCAGTGTAGCCCTCAGCTTTTGACCTGGCTTTCTGAACCTCACTTTCCTCATCTTCAACATGCAGCAAAGAATATAATACCCCTGTAGACCTAGCATGAGAACTCAATGAGATCATGTGTTCACAGATGGTACTCATATTTAACAACTGATAAAGCATAGGCATTGAAAAACCAGAAAAGGTGTAATGAATGAATGATGAACAGAGTTTGTTTCTAGACCCACAAAGGTTTAAGACATTTAATTCTCAACATTTTAAAGCAATTTACCTGAATAATTTTTAAATAAGAAAGAGAGAAGGAAAGACAGAAATTTACCAGAATATTTTATACGTAAGAGAGAAGGAAAGAGAAATTTACCTGAATATTTTTTTAAATAAGAAAGAGAGAAGGAAATAAAAGGGAAAGGTAGGGGCTAAAGTATCCAATTACTCTTTTAGAATTCCTCCATATTTATTCATATCTGTAGATGTAGCCAGACTATATCCAGGCCATAGAGTTTTCAGAAAAGACAAAAGCTTCACTGTCTTGTGGTTTCTTTGAATCCTAACAGAATAGCTCCTTATACATAGTATAGTTCAGCTTATTTATTCAAGTATTCATTCAACAAATATTTATGAATTACTGCTGAAGAGTTAAAGGATAAGGCACCTGTCAGTAAAGAGACCAGAGAAGACATATGCAGAAATAACAAATAAACCATCTTTTAAATATGTTACTTTAACAAAAATGCTGTAGCTATTCAGAAAATGAGAAAGAATACTCAGGACTGGAGTTAGTACAGATAGACTTATGAAGAAGATGGGGGGGCTTTCCTCTAAGTCTAATGGAGGGTTAGAGGGTGAGCAATGGCCAGAGGGAATATTTTGGGACATCTGAAATATATCAAACATATCGGATGCTTTGCAAACATTAACAAATTTAGCTCTCTCTCTCTGTCTCTCTCTCTCTCTGTCTCTCTCTGCCTCTCTGTCTCTCTCTGCCTCTCTGTCTCTCTCTCTGTCTCTTTCTCTCAAAAACACCCACACAGAGGTTAATATTAATATTACCCCCATTCTAAATATTGAGAGAATATGAAAGTTTCTAGAAATAAAGGCGCAAGTTCTCAGAACTAGAAAATGACAGAGTTCACGTTTGAACTCAGAACAACCTGACTCCACTTAACTGTTCAACATCCATTTATTAGAGGAAGAGGCAATTAAGACTAAAATTACAAAAACGTTATAATCCTTAGTCTCGAGAAAGGCTGTGTCTGGAGCAGTAGATTAAACCATATGGAACAGTGAACCATTGCTGAAACAGTAACAGCAAAGCTGAAAGCAGAGCAACACAAAAGATAGAGGAGTGAGAGGGAGCAGAGGAGAGACCCCAGTGGGCAAGGAGTGGTCAGATTGGGTTCATTACCTTTAATGACTTCTGATGGACTTGATGTAAAAGCCAGGCCTCAAAGCTCCGGTGGGGTAATGCAAAGGATTCAGAAAAGTAAAGAAATGAGTTAGAAGACAGTAAGATCTTGAGTTAGAATGGGCAAATGGGAGGGTTACAAAGCCAGGAACAATAAAAAGACAAATGTGAAAGCCCAGGTGTGGATCACAGGGAGGATGAGGCTGGCACAACCATGAAGGCAAGCGAAGAATTCACTGAGGACCGAGGGAACCTTTCCGAGACCAAGGGAGACAGGTTCCATACTGGCCCTGAGGGTCTCCAAAGAGAGCAAGCCTTGAGCAAAAAGAATGGAGGCGTGTTTAGCAGAGAGAACCTATTGCCCATCAGAACATTAACTCAAACCCGCTCTGTGGCTTGCCCGACCATATTTTTAGAGTTTTTCTGTGCCTCAGTGGTCCATCCATTTGAGTTTCCTTAATCTGGAGTTTTACAGAATTCTAGTTTTCTATTTTGTTATGTGAATTTATGCAAGGCTAATAAAGTCCTTTGTGGAACAGGCCAAAATAAAGAAACACTTTTCCTTTGTACACCAAATGGCCTCTGCCCCATCAAGTGCAATTAGGAACCAAACAGTTTGTGACCGGATCCTTCCTCATGTTATCTTCTTTATTTCTTTGTATCCTGACAAAATTAGATGATCTTTCAGACGAGTTCATTAAGGACTGTGATCTCAAAAAGAAGCCTAGGAAGGGAAAAAACACACAGGCCACCCTGAATGTTGAGTCGGACCAAAAAAAACCAAGGAGGAAAGATACGCCAGCACTGCACATCCCGCCTTTCATACCAGGTAATGGACAAAGCCGTCTGCACAGCTCTAAAGGAGGGCCACTTGCCACTAGGTCACGCTGGCCACACACGTTTTTCCTTAAATATTCAGGTATTTTAAAGCAATTTGTGCAATCCCCATCTCTGTATTTGTTACAATATGGCAAGCTGCTATAACAGGTACATTCTAAAATATTAGGGGCTTAATACAATAAAAGATTTGTTGTTTTTTTTTTACCTACCAATAGTGGAAGCACAGGGTGGGGAGGCACGCTCTGCTCCGAAGAGTCATTCAGGGACCCAGACCGTTGTGTTTTGACATCATAAATACACAGTGAGCAAAGTCACCATGAGCTTCCACAATCACTATGAGCACCGATGTCCAGCAGGCATGGGAGGTAGACAGAGTGGAGGATTGACAGGAAGATGTACGTGAAGCAGGCCTTTGTCAGTCACAAGGCCTCACCTGACAATGAGAGAAGCTGGGAAATGGGCCCAGGTCAATGCCCAAGAGAAAAGCAAAGCAGTCTGGCAAGAAACGAACATGTCTCTGTAACACCCTTAGATGTAATGGGTGACACTCTTTTATTCTGAAAGTTTTGCTTTGTTTTGCTTTCTTTTCTCCCTCCCTCTTGGTCACGAATTTACTGTCGTCACTGTTCACAACACACCTTGAGGGTTGCAAAACAAGTGAAACATAGATCTTTCTGGGAATGATCTTTCAGTTTTCTAAGAAATAACAACAGCATATAATAACTGAAGTATGTAGGAAGAAGTGACATCATAAGAAAGTTCTTTGAAAGGACTGTTGGGGCTCAGTATGGGTAGTGAATTGTGGAAAATTTTATGGAAGAGGCTGTTTTTATAGAGTTACCCCCATGATGGAGAAGAATTTCACTGGTGAGAAAGCAGGAAGGTGGAGGTATCAGGGTGGAAGTCTGCAGACGCAGCTTGAATTACATCAAATGAACCCTCTGGCTGAAGAGGATGGAATTTGGAGGCAGAAAAACTTGAGCTCAACTGCTCTCTGACACCTATGAGCTGTGATACCTTGGGCACATTTCTTTGCCTCACTTTCCTCAACTATGTGATGGTAGCCACAATACTAAATTCCTCAGAGTTTTTGTGAGGCTAAAATAAAATCAAGCATGCAAAACCTTTTATGTACAGAATAAATACTAATGTTTCTTCTTGAAAGATTTTCATTATTAAAGTAAGTTTGGAAAGCTATATTGACTATCTTCACCAGATGTCTATAAATATGCATAGTCCTCATATATTAGGATATATGTATTTGACCCTGTTTCTGTGTTCCCCTAACCATGCAGGTGTGTTTTCAGAACATTTAATTAAAAGATACGATGTCCAAGAGAGACATCCAAAGGGCAAGATGATCCCTGCTCTTCATAACACTGACCTGGAACAGAAAAAGCCAAGGAGAAAAGACACACCTGCCCTGCACATGTCCCCATTTGCAGCAGGTAAAGAGCTTGTGCAGGGTATTTGCAGAGGGTGATGGGACAGGTCAAGAGCCTTACCATCTGGAGGTGCCCAGGGCCTGGCCGTTGTCCTGGACCAGCAATCTGCGTTGTGCTGAAGTGCTCTGGGGAGGAGCTGTACTCACTGCTCCCTTTCAGGTTTATCTCCACTAGTAGCTCCCCAGGGGCTGATCGGGGATGGGAAAGGGTCAGAGCATTACTCATGCCTCAGCAGAGCTGGTTGAATTCACTGAGCCAACAAAATAGAAATGTCAGTGGGTCCTTGAGATGAGCTGGAATGCCCTCCTCCCAAGGCTTCCACAGACTGTGCATCTTATGGCTAGTTCTCCTGAGATACTTGGACTAATTGATCAAATCCTCAAAATGAGAGACAGAAAAAGAGATGCAGAAATGTGGGCAGCTATCTTAATATGTGTCAAATCAAACAAAAAAAAATTACACGGAACTATAAGCACCATCCCAGCCCGTAAAGGAGCTGCTCTGTGAGATATGGTCCTTGTCCCTGAGAAGTGCAAGTTGGGGAATAAGACATGTACATTCACGGCTAGAGTATGACTCTGTGTATATGTATGTATTTTATACAGGCTGTTGTGTTGGGGGAATGACCGAGGGGAAAATGTGCTAATGTTTATTGAGATCCTACTAAATGTTAGGCACTCAGTTTGTCATGTCTTATGGATGTTTATAAATCAACTGACTAATGTAATAGAGTAGCTATTATCTTGTCTTACAGATTAAGAAACTGAGAGAGATATTTAATTAACTTACTCATCTACTTTAAAGTCTTATGTGGATAAAATAGATAGATAGATAGATAGATACATACATACATACATACATACACACATACATAGATACATAGATAGATACATAGATAGATAGATAATTGGTTGCATCAAAGATGAGATGACTAGATGGATAAATGAACAGATAAAATTATGATCAAGATCAAACACTATCATGTGGCAGAGCTGGGGCTCAAACTCAGGTCTATCTTTGGGCAGTTTTTCATTGATCTGTGCTGCGGTTTGGAATTTTAGCCTAATAGAAATGAAGAAACACTCTGGGAAGAAGATAAAATTTGGCTGCTATTATAAACTATGTTTCCCCAGTTTCATTTAATAAAGAAAAAAATTGAAAAAAATAGCTCAGAAGAAGACATCATGGCAAAAACAGTCAGGGGCTTGAGATCCCCAGCCATGTTAGAGGCTCTGGTTCTGTGCTCCATGGGATTTGTATTTTCTGCACTTCTGTCCTTGTTCTTCTCCCCCTTCTTCTCTTCCCACCTCCATTTATCTCTATCCATCCATTCATCTTTACCACTTACCTATAAACCGAGATGAACAGTGGGCGTATGACCCCCACCTAATCATGCCAGGAACTCTCTCTCTGCCTCTTTCACACACAAACATTTCTACATACCACCTTTTCTGAGCACTGACTACATGCAAGCTTCTGAAATCATGCAAATGTGCTGAAAGTACAAGTTTAGGACATGCAGAAGTTTAATCCTCAAACTGTCTTCATTCTTTTAACAAATATTTACTGAGTACTTGTCATCTTCTGGGCTCTGTTGTAGGCAGTGGTACTGGAAGAAAGTCAATAAAATATAGATAAATATGCAATAGAAAGTCTGCTAGCGATAAATGCTGTGAAGAAAATAAAGCTAGTTAGAGGAAGAATGGAAGATAGAAATTGCTTCTTTAGGTTTCTGAGGTGCACAGGGAAACCTTTCTGAGGAAGGAATATTTAAGCAGAGACCTCAGGAAAATGTGAGTGTGACATGGGAGTGACTGAGCAGAGTGTTTGAGGCAGAAAAGACAAATCCAAGAGTCCTAAGGCAGTGGTGTCTTTGGATTTTGCTCAGTCAATATTTATTGAGTGTATGCTGGGCATATACTGAAAAACAAACCCGAAAGAAAAAGTTCTTGCTCTCATGGTGTTTATACTCTAGGTAGAGATAACTAAATATTTCATCCTAAAGCAGGAAAAAGGAGATTTCTCTAAGACTCACAATCAGGCAAAATGAACACCAGAAGATGACGTGCTCACAAAGAGGAAAGGTTGTGAGGCCTGCCTTTATTACTTCCCTGGGCAGGATCTGTTGGCCCGCAGTAACATCCTGCATCAGTCATTCCATCACTTAACACTGAGTCAACTGTGATGGCCCATCACAGCTCTCTTATCTCACTGGGACATGAAGAGCAAAGCTGCTCCTATTTTCTAACAGAGAGGGGAGCAAGCCAGCACAGTCTCCCAGTGAAGGGGCCTTGAAAGATGATTTTTTTGGCAGTATTCTGTCTGGTTTCAGAGCAGTTTTAATATTGGGAAAGGGGTCCGGAGTTCTTAGAAGAACTGATTTAAGAATAATAGACACAGTCACAATTTGTTACCTTTGACTGTTTCCCAGGGGAAGAAGGAATTATTACATGATGACATTTCCATACTAGAGGTTTGCAGTGTTAATGGAATATAGGCCTATCTCATTCCATTTCTCCTCACTTTTTGTGCTTTTCAGATATTGGGTCTTTTACCAAATTGAATGTTTTTCATAACCCTGCATGCAGCAAGACTATTTTTTCCAGCAGAACCATTTTTTCAATAGCACATGTTAATTTCATGTCTCTGTGTCACATTTTAGTAATTCTTATACTATTTTGAATTTTATTATTTTTATATCTTTCATGGTGATCTGTGATCAGCGATGTTTGATGTTACTATTGTAATTGTTTTGGGATACCACAAACCTTGCCCATATAAGACTGTGAACTTAATCTTATAAGTGGTATATATTTTCTGTCTGCTCCACTGACAACCATTCCCCCATCTCTCTCCTTCTCCTCCGGCTTCCCTATTCCATGAGACACAAAGATATTGAAATTAGACCAATCAACCCTACAGGGACCCCTAAGTGTTCAGCTGAAAGGAAGAGTCACATGTATCTCACTTTAAATCAAAAGCTGGAAATGATTAAGTTTAGTGAGAAAGGCATGTTGAAAGCCAAAACAGGCTGAAAATAATGTCTCTTGCACCAACCAGTTAGCCAAGAGCCATGTTGTGAATGCAAAGAAAAAGTTCCTGAAGTAAATTAAAGGTTCTACTCCAGTGAACACATTAATGATTAAAAAAAATAATAATAAAATAAAATATCCTTATTTCTGACATGGAGAAAGTTTCAGTGGTCTGGATAGATCACACCAGCCACAACACTTCCTTAAGTCAAGGCCTAATCCAGAATAAGGTCCTAACTCTCTTCAGTTATGTTGAGAGAGGGGAGGAAGCTAGCAGAAAAGTTGGAAGGTAGCAGAATTTGGTTCATGATATTTAAGAAAAGAAGCCATCTCTCATAAAAGTGCAAGGTGAAGCAACAAGTATTGATATAGAAACTATAGGAAGTTATCCAGAAAACCTAGCTAAGATAATTGGTGAGAGTGGGTACACTAAACTATTGTTTCTTAATGTAGATAAAACAGCCTTTTATTGAAACAAGATACCATCTAGGCCATTCATAGCTGGAAAGGAGATGTCAATGCCTGACTTCAAAGTTTCAAAGGACAGGCCAACTCTCTTATTAGGGGCTAATGCAGCTGGTGACTTTAAATTGAAGCCAATGCTCATTTACTATTCTGAAACTCCTAGGGCCCTTATGAATTATGTTAAATTGACTGCCTGTGCTCTAGAACTACGAAGCCTAGATAAAGGCATATATGTTTACAGCATAATTTACTGAATATTTTAAGCCCACTGTCGAGACCTACTGCTCCAAAAAAAGACCCCTTTCAAAGTATTACTGCTCATTAACAATGTACCTGGTCACCCAAGAGTTCTGATGGAGGCACACAAGGAGATTAAGGTTGTTTTTATGCCTGCTAATGCAGCATCGATTCTGGAGCTCCTGGATCAAGGAGTTACTTCTACTTTCAAGTCTTGTTATTTAAGAAATACATCTTTTGCAAACCTATAGCTGCTATAGATAGTGATCCCTTTGATAGATCTGGACAAAGTGAATTGAAAATCTTCTGGAAACAATTTGGTATTCTAGATGCCATTAGGAACATTTGTGACTCAAGGGAGGGGATCAAAATATCAAAATTAACAGGAGATTGGAAGAAGTTGATTCCAATCTTTATGAATGAATTTGAGAGGTTCAAGACTTCAGTGGAGGAAGAAACTGCAGATGTGGTAGAAACAGCAAGAGAGTTAGAATTAGAAGTGGGGCCTGAGGATATGACTGAACTGCTGCAATCTCATGATAAAACTTGAATGGATGAGGAGTGGCTTCTGACAGATGAGCAAAGAAAGTCATTTCTTGAGATGAAATCTACTACTGGTGAAGATGCTATGAGCATCGTTAAAATTACAACAAAGGGTTTAGAATATTATGTAAACTTAGTTTATAGCAGCACGGTTTGAAAGGATAGACTCAATTTTGAAAAAAGGTCTGCTATGAGTACAATGCTGTCAAGCAGCATCACACACTACAGCAGAATCTATTGTGAAAAGAAGAGTCCATCAATGCAGAAAACTTCACTGTTGTCTTAAGAGATTGCCACAGCCACCTCCCCTTCAGCAACCACTGCCCTGATCAGTCAGCATCGATCAACATTGAGACAAGCCTCTCTAAGACTCGGTGAAGGCTTAGATAATCATTAGCATTTTTAGAAATAAAGTATTTTTACATTAAGCTATGCTAATTATTTTTAAAGACATAATGCTATTTCATATTTAGTAGACTATAGTATAGTGTAAGCAAAACTTTCATGTGCACTGGGAAACCAAAAATTTTGTATGACTTTCTTTATTATGATATTTGCTTTATTGCAGAGATCTGGAAGAACCTGCAATATCTCTGAGGTATGCCTGCAACAAAAGTTTTTAAAAGTCCTGCAAAAGGAATCACTTTCACTTTGTATAACCCAGATCTGATCTATTTTCCATAGAAGTTCTTTTGGTACTACCTATTAGTCTTATTAGTCCAGTCG